GACGTCGGCGAAGTGCGAGAACCAGGGTGGTCCAAAAGACCGTCGGCCAAGGAATTGACGCCAGGAGGCGAGTGCACTGGCAGGCCGCAACTCCCAGGGTGGCGGAAGCCGAGAGACCCCTAGGCAGCAGTACGCGCGAGTGCGGAAAGCGGCATAGCCTCGACGCGGCCAAAATGGCGCGGGTTACCACGTACCTGTGCGAGAGAGGGTGTCGGGTTGACTCAACACGGGCCCGAATGGGCACCACGCACAGGGCTGACACACAAAGTGATGACAAGCACACGGGTACCTCGGGCAAGCAGAAGCTGGGGCCGAGGACCAATCGCACGTGTGGAATGCTGGACAAAACGATGCCGGGACACTCTGGTGGGGATATTCTTTTTGGTCGCGGGCGGACGCGGATTCGCAGTCGCCGAGCTGAGAGGTCCGGGCCACGGGCCTGTCAAATTAGCAACGCACAAGCCTAAGAGCACAGCGGCCGAGCCCGGAATCAGAACCTACCGCCGGTGAGGCCGCAGGCTGAAGGGGAGCTGGCTGAGCTGACTGCAAACGGCCAGGGTAGCTGATGCACCATGCGGGTGAATTGGCTCAGGCACGCCAGGAAAGGTCGTGACCTGTTCTGTACCAACAGACCACACGTCTGCCGAGCGGGGCGGTGCCACCAGACGGGCGAAACCGGTGAAGCGGCGCGCAGCCAGGAGAACGAAACCCGAGAAGTGCGAGCGCACACGAGCTCAAGTGGGTACCGTGGGAGGCGGTCACCCTGTACCAGATGGACCTTGTCGCCACAGGACGCCAGGGGTCAAGGCCACAGCTGTGGCGAGGTATGTGCCATGAGGCGGTAGCGATGCGACAGCGACTCTAGTGGGGATTTGTTTGGTCGCGGCCGCAAGCGAAGAGCGCAGGCGGCGAACAGGGTGTCCGGGCCGACGGGCAAACCTAATTAGCTGCTGGGCGCAGCGCGAGCCGGCTGGGCCAGCTCTCAGAGGCAGCAGCTGCGGCAGCGGCGGCGGGGGGCTGGTTGGCTGAACTGCAACGCCCAGGGAAGCTCGAGCATCGTGCAACCCTGTGGCAATATGCCAGGGGATTCTGCGTTCCGCGCCGCGGCGCCAGTCCACCACGGTCTGGTGGGGATACTTTTTGGTCGGCGGCCGCTCGACGACGGTCTGGCGGCAACAGGCAATGTCCGGGGCGGGCGGCAGAAAGCTAACTGCACATGTCTGGTGGGGATACGCGAAGCGTCTAGAAGTTCTCGCCCCACATCAGCCCCGACACACACACACCCGTCCCCCACCACGCCCCGTCATCCTTATCTTTAGCACCCCCCCACCATGCAATTTACCCAGCATCGGCCCCGACCCCCCCCCGTCCCGACCACGCCCCGGCATCCTCACCATTTTGGACCTTTGTTCTTTGGAGCCGTGGCTGGAAAACCCTCGACAACCTACGAGGACGTCCGAAAACCTAGGTCCTCGAAGCACCCGACGCCCAATGATGCATGCCTGGCGACTGCCGCATGTTGCCCGGAAGAACTACAACTGCAAAGCCAGACACTTCTCGGGGATTCAAATACGTATGCAAACATCGAAAAAATGTTTTTACCGGTGCGTGTTGCCCCCCAGCGTGCGCCTTCCGTGGAATGGCTTCGGCCCCCTGGGGCATAAATGATGGATCTGGGACGATGAACTGCACCCGGGAAACGTGTCGGCAGCCGCACATTGAGTGCACACATCCGATAAACGTGCTGCGGGACGGCTTGACTAGAACAAGATCACATCCTTCAAAACCATTCGACCCTCCGCTTGCCAAAACACACAAAACACCCCACGGTACCCTCCCCAGAATGTATAACAACGTACATGCAACAAACACGAATAACATCAGGGTGCCTGCCCCGAGCTGACCTCGACCTTATACCTCGGTCCGACCGTAAGGATTGTTGGGGCACGTGGTTCGTCGATCATTTTCGCGGTCCTACGGTGCCCCAAAGCTTCTGTGGGCCTTTGGGGCCACCGGGGGACAAACAATCTCCGTGGGACACCCGCTTGCAAGTCGATATCTTATTTGATCTGCCTATTGTATGTTGCCCGCGCCATCATGTGGCTCGTCCGATATACCAATCGTGCAATTATACATTAGATCCGTCGTCGGCGCGGTCCCTCGCCTTCATCCTTGAATCGGCGTTTCGCCGCGCTCCATCGCACGCTGCCGCTCTCAATCGTATTTCGGTGGTTCGCTTCTCCTTTCAACGTGTCCACTTTGCTGCAAAACCTCCGGGCTGCAACGGATCGGACAAACGCTCGGTGCCCCGAAAATTTGTATGCCAACGTAGTGCTCCGTGTCCGATGTACGTGCCATGCCCGCGAGTAGTGTTCTGCTGGTTGCACCATCCGGTCTCCATCCAGCACAGACGGCGCCAACCATCTCGTCCGCGCGCGCGCCCCGCACGTCGGGCCGACGCGCCCTGGTCACGAACGCCGTTCGACTGACGCGCTGCGCCGCGGTCCAAAAAAAAAAACGGCGGACATTCTCGTCCCCGCGATCGTCGCGACAGTGTGACCGTCATCATCATCATCATCATCATCAGCATCATCATCATCACCACCACCACCATCATCATCATCATCATCATCATCATCATCATCACCACCATCATCATCATCATCATCATGATCATCATCACCATCATCATCATCATCATCACCATCATCATCATCTTCATCATCTTCATCATCGTCATCGTCATCGTCATCAGCATCATCATCATCAGCATCATCATCAACCATCCAACACCAATCACCACCTTCAACATCATCCTCATCCTCTGCCTTCCCCCTCCTCCCCAACAGCACCACCATCGCCGTAATCAGCAGCATCAACAATGCCCCCATCATCACCATACCCGCCGTTCTCATCACCACAAACAACAACATCACCTTCAACATCATCCTCACCGTCAACATCCCCACTTAGCTCGCATTTCCGCGCGCACTCACATCAATACCTGGCTGCCCGCTTCGCCAGGAGGGCCAATTGAGACAACTGGGTTCTCCCGCGCCCCTCCCAGGATCCACCCAGTTTGCAAGACGGATCAGGCCGTGGCGACGCAAAGCATCTGGGAGGCCGAGAAAAGGACCGCGGACGCCAGGGAGGGCCACTGGACTCGGGGATGGACAGACCCCCCTTTAGTAAAACGTGGTTTAGTGAAAACGACCTGAGGCCCAAACCTGGCGGGCGCAAGCCTGGAAAATAACGGCCGCGGCGCCCTCTCGAGAACCGAAAACGGACGATTCACTAATCGACGTGTCACTGTTGGGGGTTCTGTCCGCCCCCGAAGGACCACTGCAGCGTCCCAGCGCACAGGAGCAGAACTCGGACGCAGCGAGCCGCGCCTCGAACACCACCGCGCCGAGCTGCCTCCCCGGATACCCCGGGGAGGCCCGCCGTCGCCTCCACGGGCCCTCCGCCACTGCGCACGCCCCTCGCACGGCTCCGGCCAGGGGACCACATGGCGAACCCTACCCCTCCCCCCCACGATTAATGAGGGGAAGGGTGGGGTCCACTTCGTTCGGGAGCTCCCGAGCAAGCTGAACCCCGCCCTCCTCCTCAGAAATCGTTGGGGGGGGGAGCGGCTTGCTGCACCGGCCCCCTCGCGACGGTCAGCTGCTCCCGAACCGGAGGGGGGCTCGAGCGCACCCCTGGCCGCGGCGAGCCTGGCCCCTCCTGGCCGGAGCCGCCCGCCCCACCATGCTCATTCAGCGCCTGAGTCGCGGGTTCGTTTTCCACCACCAACCACGCCACCATAACTGGAGGGGGAAGAGGAGGAGAGGACGAAGGGAGGACGAGGAATTTGGAGGGAGGAGAGGAGGGAGGAGGAGGTAGGAGGCATGAGGAGGAGGAGGAAGAAGAGAGAGGGAAGACGGGCGAAGAAGGAGGACAGAGGAGGAGGAGAGGAGGAGGAGGAGGAGGAGGAGGAGGGCAGGAGGCTCGCTATTTCCACCCTGCTGGCGGGAGCCTTGCAGGCCGGCGGGCCAGGCGAGCAGGGCCGCGTTGGCGAGGGTCGCCGCGCAGAGGAGCGCCCGGGCGCCAGCCCTCCACGCCTCGGGAGCCCCCCCCCTAACAGCGGCGCGGAGGGGGGCCTCGCGGGAGCGCCCCCGGACGCGCAGCGCAGGCGAGGGCTGCCGGGAGCCGGAGGCGGCCGCGGGGTCTCGGGCCGGGTGGGGCCCCAGAGGATCGGCCAGGAGGACGAGGAGGAGGAGGAGGAGGAGGAGGGGGAGGAGGAGGAGGGGGAGGAGGAGGAGGAGGAGGAGGAGGAGAAACGGCCGGGACGAGACCAGGTCCGATCAAAACTCAAAACCCGTCCGCGGACCTCTCCTGGGGCCCGTCGCGCGCAACTCGTCCTTCTCCGACTCCGCTTCGAAGACGGCCAGAGGATCCACAGGCGCAGCCTGCGGGCCAGGCGCGAGGGCGGCGCGAGCGAGGGCGGGAGATCCTGGGCCATCCAAAACCTCGCGCACGGCGCCCCGCGGAAGGGCGACGCGCGGTCGCCTTCGCGCCCCCGCGCCGCCCCGCGCGGCAGGCAGCTCGGCGGGCCTGGCCGCGGTGCGCCACGCGCGGTGGCCTCCGCGCCCCCCGTGGGTGCCCTGGCAGGTCGGATGGGCTCCTCTGCGCACGCGCACGCGCAGCCGAGGGACCCCCTGACCTTACAGCGGAGGCCAGGCCACGAGAGGCCTTCCACGAGAGGCCCAGCCCCGAGACCCCGGGACGTCCACGGATGTGTGGCGTGGGAGCGTCGCGCTTCCCGCAGCAGAACCATCGAAGCCCAAGAAGCCCAGGGAACCCTGGAGGCAAGCAGGGTGTGTCTTGGCATGGGTCTCAACTGCACCCCCGATCCAAGCGTGCCCGTGGACTGCAGCCGAAGCGTGACCACAAGTGCGTGGGTCAAGAGCACGCGCCTCCGCCGAAGCCCCATGGCACCGCAGAGGTACCTCCCCCAAACCGGCGAGTGCTCCGAGGCGGAGAGCCCATCCGCAATAGGAACACAAAGGGCACCACCCCATCCAAGGCTAGGGTGTTTGGTTGACCCGAATGGGGGTCGAGCTGAAATTGGGTGGTGCAGTAGACTCTGGGGGCAAATTGTATTGGAAATGGATGGCAACAAATATATTGCACGCGAAAGTCCAGCAATGCATCTGCGCACTGGAATTTTTGCACGCCCCCAATTGCTTGCAATCCCACAAATCTATTGCACTCAATCTAATGCACCACCCTCTTTTCGATGGACCCCCTTTCAGGCCAACCAGAAAGATGCTCTGCCCATGGCCGGGCCTTCCTGCAAGGCTCAAAAGGCCTCTGGCCTTCTTCCGAGCAGGCCGGAGGGCTGCTGAGAGGCCCCGCCGCCTTCCGAGAAGGCCTGCGCAGCAAATCCGTGCAGTGCCAGCTTCGGCGCTGGTTTCTGACACCGCGGGGGATCATTCTACCTTGAACGGTCGGCCATCTTGAAGGGGCCCTGGGACGCGCTAATGAGGAGACACAAATCCAGGGATTCCCCACGCTTCCTGAGATGTGATCTGGGCCTTCGTCTTCCCGCCCACTTCCCATGTTTTCCCATACTTTCCTGGGGATCGGCGTTTCGTTGTGTCTGTATGGCTTTGTCTTCTCCTGACGTTTGCGAGACGCCAGCTCGTTCGACCTCGGCCGGTTCGGGGTCGCCGGCGGCGGGCAAGGTTGACCGCCTGCGGCGGGGTCGCCGCCAGTCGACACGACGCAAATCAGTCGTAGGGTCGCTTTCTTTCAAGAGCCCCGGGGGGGAGGGGCCGCAGGCCGGACCAATCCCAGCCAACCAGGCCACTTCTCAAGCGGCCAAAAACCAAGTGGTGCCAATCAGAGCCATGCTGTAAGATTCAACGCGTAGATCATTCCAAAAACGATTTTAGAAATCACACGTCCATCTTAAGAGTACGCATTCGTCCTGGCAGACAACATGACTGCCACGGTTGGAGTTGGTACTTTGTACTTTCTGATATCTGGGAGTTGTGGTATTGAAACTGAGCAGTGGTCACTAATCTAATATGTCTGGAGCTTTACGGCCGGCGTACGAGACCTTGACAGCATGCGCACAACAGTTGCGTAAAGCTTCGCGCTACGTGGTTTGCATGTGAGAGCTGTGAGACTTCCATTAGCGAGCGGCAAGCTACTCTAAATCGAAACGTGGGTATTCATCAAAAACGGAACAACTCCGGATGAGAACTTCAGCCGCCAAGTGGAAGCAGACATCAGGCTTCATGTGCGCTAGCTGAACAATTAGCTGGCACATGACACATGACACCCCGAGGGATTGCGCAATGTGACTTGAGTTCTGTGTAAACTGTGCATGGCATTTCCGACAAACAAACACATGTGGACACTGCATTTCCTGTGTGTACAATCGTATTGCCAGTGCTTTATTGCGTAACAATTTGTAACGGCCATGGATGAGTGTAACTGCCTGGTTTGTTTAATGTGCATTAACTATGGATTCAGTGTAAAGTGGACTTCTAACGTTGTGTTGTGATCTATGTTTGTTTTGATGCGTCTAATTCAAAGTGTGCCGATCCAAGCAGATCGCTTCAATATTTACTATTCGATGCTTCTGCCCACAGGAGAGCAATCGGACATGGGTCCTGCAGTATTCTTCCATCCAGCCAGTCCTTTAGACTATGGTGGCCTAGCGAGTTCCTCCTTCCCAAGACCCTCTCCCCTTCGGGGAGGGGGACCCTCCTCTCCCCTCGCTGAGGTTTCCTTGGGGCGGGCTGCGAGGTGTCAGGGGCGCCCTGGGAGGCCCAAGATGGCTCCAAGAGGGCGTGCGATGCTCCCAGATGGCCTCCAAGCTGGCTCAAGATCGCCGGCAGTGGCTCAAGGTAGCTCCAGATTTCGTAATAAAAGGGAGGGGGTCTGGACCCTCCAAGACAAGCCATTTCAGACCTCTCCCGTGGGAGAACCCTCCAAAACATCGTCCCCAGACCCCCCCAGGCCCTCCAAGATGGCCTGGAAGAGACCCCCCCCCGAAATGAGACCACCATCCGTTGATTACGAAATCTGGAGTAGCTTCAGATATACCCCCTAAGGGGCCCGACAAGGGCCACACGACGCCTCCGAGTGCCCTCGGAGCCCCCTCAGGAGGCCAACGTCCGCCGAAGGAACCTGGGCGCGTTCCGCCCCCACCCTCGCTCAGAGTGGGAGGCTGTGTTTTGCCCCCCTCTGCCCCGGCTCCAAACGGACGGGGAGGGGGGGCTTGCCGGTGACGGCAGGAAGCGCTCGTTCGTCCCTGTGCTTATCATCACCCTATCTCGGTGACGATCTTAAGGCTTTTCTCGGTTTCTAGAGGCCTCCTAGATGGGGTCGGAGTGGATGGGGTCGGAGGATCGCGCCGCATCGGCGATACATCGCCGATGCATCGGCGATGCACTGGCGATGCCTCGGCGACGTCGGCGTGGGGAAAATCGGGCTCCGCATCGAGCCGCATCGTCGATGCATCGTCGATGCGGCGCGATCCTGCGACCCGATCTACTCCAACCCCATCTGGGAGGCGTAGAGTTCCTGAGGGTACATCCCAAACATCAGGGGTCAGGATGAGTTCGAGGCTGCTTACGACCCCGTGCGCGGACCCTGCGGCCAGCATCTTTTCCTGCGCGGCGGCAGCCCTTGCGACACGCCACGCCTGGAACGGTTGCCGGGCTGCCGCCCCCTGAGATCGCAGAATGCGTCGCACTGCAGGCCCGCAGCGGTCGGACAGCGGACAGCAGGTCACGCCGACATGTGGTGGGCCAGCACAAGCGGCGCGACACGTCGAGCATGACATCAGTGCCGCAGTCCGCCGACATCCTGCCCCGCCTCCTCGGGCATTGGGAAGCTGCGACCGGCTTCCTCGGAACCTGGGGGATATGCGGCTCCTGTCCGACCTATTCGGGGCTCTGGGCCACTCCGGGCCTGGGGAACTCTGTCCCACCCACGCGGGCATGAGAAATGCTGTCCGCCCCATGGGGGCCCGGTGAAGCGTGCTCGACCTGCGAAGGGCGGGCCGGGAGAGCTCTCTGCCCGACAAGCGGCCCCCTGTGAAGTCGCCAGGCATGGGACATGTCTTCGTGCTTGTCTCTATCTGTCTCTCTCTCTCTCTCTCGCTCTCTCGCTCGCCCTCCCTCTCGCGGAAGAGGGCGAGGGAGGATTGGGGTCTTTCTGCTCAGCGATCGGCGCGAAACGAGGCCGACGGGCCCTTTTGCACGGCAGGTTCGTGTCGTCACGACTCTGGCGATAGTCTCTGATACTGTGTGGATCGTCAAACCTTGATCGATCGCGGCATTCCGATAGAGCAGAGATCGTTCGATATTGGCCGGTTCCGGGCCTCTGACGGCGTTCGACCTTGAACTGCCGCGCTGGGGTCACCGCCGCGTCGACACGTCACGAACCTGCCGTATGTAGAGCCGGCGCTGCCCACCACCCCTGCGAGGGGGAACGCGGGGGGACTGGCTCGGGGGGGGGGGGGGGAACCTCGCGGTGGAATCGGCGATGCATCACCGATGGCACGTCCGCACGGTCCTGGGCGGCGGGGCGGGCCATCGGGCCCCTGTCGGCGATCAGCGGGCCATTGGGGGGCGCATGCGTCCGCCCACGAGCCCATCCCCCCCCCTCACTTGGCGGTGCGCACGAGGGGGCAATGGGGGGGGAGGGGAGGGAGGGCTCCCCTCCCCTCGCCCTGGCCCCCCCCTTTGTGCGCGAGGCCGCCCAACGCTGCCCCCGACGCGCGCGGCTGGCGCCACCCGCCACCCCACGGACTGCCAGCTGAGCTCCGCGCCAAGATGGCGCCCCCCCTGGCGGCGAGCTGCTCCGACTCTGGCGTGGGCAGGGGCCTCAGCGTGGGGGTACGCAGCGGGTCCAGAGGCAGCCGGGTACTGGACCCCGGGGCCTTCCCCCACGACGAGATCTTCATCCTGCACATAGTCTTCTGACCATCCCGGGGCACGGGGCGCCGAAGACGGCGAAACACCTCAGGACCCGTTTCCCTCAGGACCCGTCTCCCCCATGGCCATGGCCTCCGCAGCCTCCGCAGCCCCACAACGTCGGCGTAGCCGGCCAGGGCCGCATACGCCAGGGCCAGCGGAGGCACCAGAGGCGTGCTCGCCCAGGACACGGCCGCCACGCCCAGCACGGCCAGCGGGTGGGTCCAGTCGCAGCAGCACCTCCGGCTCTCAGGGGACACCCAACGGCATGGACACCGCCACGAGCTCCCCGGACGCATCCAGGGGAGCGTCCTGACCTGGACTTCGCGAGGCGGATCCAGCCGTGTCGGCGAGGGCCTCCCATGAGGCCCCATGGGCGAAAACTGGGCAGGAGTATGAAGGGGCCCTGGGACACACAAATAAATACACACAAATAAAAGGATTCCCCATATTTTCCCATATGTTCTGGGTTTTTGTCTTCCCCCCCACTTCCCATATTTTCCCATATTTTCGGAGGAATCGAGGATTAATTGTGTCTGTGTGTTTTTTCCCCTCCTGAGAGTAGCGGAATCGAGAGGAGCACCAGAGAGGCGTAAACCGAACATTCCGAGGCCCGCGCGGATTTCTTGGATCGGCGCCAGGGCCCTCCCGGGCGGAGCGCGCGCAGGGGGCGCCGCGGGAGGCGCCGCGTGGGGGGCCCCAGCGCCGATCCAAGAAATCCGCATGGAGCTCCGAACATGTACTCCAGATTTCGTAATAAAAGGGAGGGGGGTTCAACCCTCCCAGACGATAAGTTTTAGACCCCCCCCCGTGGGAGAACCCTCCAAAACATCGTCCACAGACCCCCCCAGGCCCTCCAAGATAGCTTGGAAAAGACCCCCCCCCCGAAATGAGACCCCCCTCCCTTTATCACGAAGTCTGGAATATGTTTGTGTCGTACTTGCTTCTTGGGGTAGCGGTATCCGTACGTTTTGCTCCTCTGTGATCCAGGAGCAGGAGCACCTCATGATCAGGCACGAAAGGACCCTTGACCCTTTGGGAGGCGACCTCTTGGAGGAGCGCCAGGAACATTAGGGACAGGGGGTCTTTTAGCAGATAATGCATCGAAGCAGACAGCCCAGATCTAGGATCCCTCGTGCACAGACGGGACCTCAGTGAGGCTGCGTCTTCATCGTGTCATTCGGAATTGGGTTTTTGTGTCCTCGATGACCCAAGTCTTCGGGTCTTCGGTGGCAAGTGCGAACAAACTTCGCGCTCTCGCGCCGCTCCCCAAGGGGGAGAAGAGGATGATGAGGAGGACTCGGAGCTGAACCGCGAAGCGCGAGGCGGGAATCACTTCGCGCCCTCGAGGGCGCCCTTGCCTTCGGTGGCAGCTATGGGAGCCTCCCATGCCGCAGTCTACGCTGTCCGACGCCACTTGACGCCCAATCGACGCCCAATCGACGCCGATCGACGCTGATAGACGCTCATCGACGCGAATTGACGCTCAATCGGCTCAAGGTCAGGAGTCCTTTTATCCTCGATGACCTCAGATCCGCGAGCCTCATCGACGCTAACAGACGCTTATAGACGCAGATCGACGCGACTTGGCGCGGTCGGCTCAGGGTTAGGGGCCCTTTCGTCCTCGATGACCTCAGACCCTCGATGGCAACTATTTGAGCAGGGACCGACCGTCCCGGCACTCCTATAGGCCTACCACGACATGTTCTTAGAACACAACACATGTTCTAAGAACGAAACCAATGTTCTCAGAACAGAAACCCGATGTGTCAAAACAAGACAGTCCGGGCCAGAAACGTGCTAAGGAACATTGCGTGGCAACCACAACAGAAGGCTCGTGGAACAGTGCTTGGGAGGCCTACTAAGCACGCCAAGACGCTGCGCCGCTGCTTGATAACTATGGTTAGGTCGGGCCTGTCCCCCTACTTAGGTCGGGCCTGTCCCCCTACTTAGGTCGGGCCTGTCCCCTTGGAGGGAAACTTTGGGCGAAAACTACAACAAATACTCCAGAGATGCCCCCAAATGGTCAAACAAAAAAATCAAAACCTCGTCCCCATGGTATTTTCTGACCTTTCTGGAAGAAACCCCCCTGTAGAGGGACAAGCCCGACTCAACACCATGGGCCCCTTTGTTCGGGTCGGGCGAAAGGGGGGGATAGCAAAGGGGGGGTTTGAGAATCAGCTCACGTAGCTGACTTTCCCGGCGCCTCCCGGCGCCGGAGGCGGCTATGTATCGAGGAAGGGGACCCTCGGTGAGGCCGAAACCAGCTGCATGCAGCAAATTTCGTACCCCCCCCTCCCTTTCCCAATCCCCCCCTTTCGCCCGGCCCGACTTGCATCCCCGAGGACCTCAGGTCCACGACCCTCCCGCCGCCCAGCCGCAGCGACGGCCCCGCGCGCCGCGGCGCCAGCATCTCCGCGTCCTTGGGCGGGACTTAATGGGGGGGTCACAAACGGGGGGGTCAGAAAAGGTCCCCTTTCGGGCCCCTTTCGGGCCCCTCCAGAGCCCCAGGGGGCTCGTTTGGGTACCGTTTGGGTGCCTTTTCGGACCACCCTCGCCGCCCCCCCCTTTGTGACCCCCCCAATTACGCGGCGCCCAACGTCCAGCTGGCGCACCAGCACCGGCACGGCCGCGCCCCGGCGCACGGCCACGTGCAGCCTCGGGGCCCTTCCGGCGGCCCCGCCGGCGCCGCCGGCGCCGGTCGCCTCGCCGGAGCGCAGCGGCAGGACGACGTGCCGCTCCTGCGGAGGGAGCTCGCCGTCGCTAGGACTCCTGCTCCTCCTCCTCCTCCTCCCCCTCCCCCTCCCCCTTTCCCTCCTCCTCCTCCTCCTCCTCCTCCTCCTCCCCCCCCCTCCTCCTCCTCCTCCTCTCCTCCTCCTCCTCCTCCTCCCCTCCTCCTCCTCCTCCTCCCCCTCCTCCTCCCCCATCCCCTCCTCCTCCTCCTCCTCCTCCTCCTCCTCCTCCTTTCCCTGTGTTTTTGTCGGTGTCGTGCGTGGCTTTTTCGCCAAGTGACCAAGGATGCTCCTCGAGGGTCCTCGCCGAGAAAAAAATATGCACACGGCCGAGCGATGCCAGGGAAGGGGCAGCGGCACACAGTTTCGGCCCGTAGCAGGAGGAGGAGGCCCGGTAGAGATCCGTCATCCGACTGCCGTTGCGCTGATCTTGGATCTTGCCCCCGTGGAGGGGCGTGCCCGGCTTCAGGCTGAGACGAAGCCAGGGCGAGGACCGATGCGGACGAGGGTTGATCGAGGATCTCTCTGTCCCTGCGGCTCTGAAGGATGCATCGGCGACCGCGGCCTTCTCGGAGCGTTCCAGAACGCTCTGCGAGCGTTCTGGAACGCTCCAGAAGGGACACAGTCGACCCGCGTAATAAGGATGCACGATAACGATGCATAGGGCTTGGAAGGCCGACTCGAGGCTTCTCGAGCGGGGTGCGGCCAACGAAAGTGGCCAAGGAGGAGACAAGGATGCAAGGGCACCCTTGGGAAATTGCCCACCCTGAATATGCGGGTTGACTGTAGACGTCAACTTTCATGGGGTCGCCGCGGATCTCTTGAATCCGCGCTGGGGCCCCCTGGCGGAGCCTCCAGCGCCGCCCCTGTCGCGCCCCGTGCACCAGAGGAGAAGCCCAGCGCAGACCCACGAGATCGCCGCGTGCCCTCGGCAGTGCATGCTCGTGGCGATTTTCCTCCTTCGGTCCTCGTCGTCCCGAAGGTCCTCTCGGGCCGGGCGAAAGGGGGGGACAACAGAGGGGGGGGGGGTGAGACTCAGCTCACGTAGCTGACTCTCCCGGCGCCTCCCGGCGCCGGGAGACTCGGCCACGTATCGAGGAGTGCGCCCCTCGGTGGGGCCGAAACCGGCTGCACTTCGCAGATTTCGCACCCCCCCCCCCCCCTCTCCCTGTTCCCCCCCCCTCTCGCGCGGCCCGATCCTCCGGCTCGACCCACACCGCCCGGCCCAAGATCGTGTCGGGGCCCATCACGTCGGCGCACACCGAGAACGCGAGGTGGCCGCCGGCCGGGAACGTGGGGACCCGCAGGGTCCGGTCCCAGCAGGGGTCGGGGCCGGCCGCCTCCTGCGTGTGCTGCTTCTCGCCCGCGGACTCCAGAACGCAGTACACGCTGTGCTCATCCGGCAAGTTCTCGGCCTTCTGGAGGGTCACCTGCCGGGGGGCGCCGGCTGGACGTGCGTGCTAGTGGCACGTGCGTGCCCAGGCTCAT